CTCCCACAGGAGACACGCACCCCCCTCCTCCTTTCCCCACCCAAACTGTGGGCCCAGACTAGCTCTCTGGCCCACCTCCCACCAGCCTCCCCACCCCACCTTGGTAGGACTCCAAGCCATGTACCCACCTCACCTCCCATCACCTCTGCACAAGTATCACTGCATGGGGTCCATGCAGAGCAGAATTAGGGGTCCCCACCACCAGACCCGGAGTTATAGAAGGTCTGACCAGCAGCTTAGTTCTGCCGTGGCTGCTGCAAGTTATTTTAAGCACCAGGAACAAATTTATATATGTCTGCCCAACCCATTGGCCTGATCGGGTTATCTTCATACTGTAGCATTCACGGTTAATGAGTCTAAAGTAATCTGATGGGATGAGGCTAAAGTAGAAACGTGCGAGGAAGGAAGCTAGAACTGATCTTCTGCTGGATATTTCCAGAGAGCAACCGGACTTTGCACCGGCCAGGGTCAAGCCGGATGATAGTTGATTGATGAAGTGCTCCGGCACCTCACAAAGTCCTGGGACATCTGAGTCAGGAGCTGGCCCTTGGGGTGAGGGAGAACCACGTATTATACAGGCTAGTCAGTAGACCCTGTGGAAATTGCATCAGACTAAAATTTAGCTAAATTTAGCAAAGCTTACCTGGTTCCAAAATCAGACCTGCAGATTCCCTTTTTCAAAATGCAAGGACTGCCAGCTGAATTTCTGTGGACTTTTACAAAGGTTCTCAAATTTCACGTGCGACATTTTCCTCTGGCATGACAACTGCAAAGCTCTGATTTGATTTGCAAAGGTTTCCACGGCTCTCCTGGACTCATAATTATTGACAGTAATGCACGTTACTGTGACTGGCTGTGAGCTGCTGGAATGCAACCCCTGTGCTGGGGCTCGGTGCAGAGCAGGGCTTGCTGAGAGGCCGTGGGGCACCTGGCCTGTTTGGTCACATTATATAGACGACCAGTAACAACATACATCTCTAGGGTACAGGGGTGACCTGGCTTCTCCAGGGCCTGACCACAGCTGTCCCTTGTCAGGGAATGAAAGCTGGGAGATGACCCAAGTGATGGGATCCTGGAGGACCCAGGACAGAGTTTGCTGCCGCCTCGCCAAGCTCACAGCTCAGCGGTGGGACTCAGGCTCTGCCTGTGCCAGGGTCATGCAGAAGCAGTCTGTCTGGAACAAATGTGCTGCTGTTTTGGTGACCCTGGCAAAGCTCTGAGTCCCCAGCATGGAGACAGCTGGAGCAGTTCAGCATGTTCCTCCCTCCAGACAGACCCTGGTGCCCAGGGTCCCGCGCTGCTTTCGGCTGGTATCTGACATTTCAGGTGGTGAGAAAAAAAAGAAGTCGCATGTGGGAATGAAATGGATGTTTTTAAATGCTCCGTGGGATTTTATTAATTTGCTTTGCCATGGGGTTTCCTCATGCCGCAGCCCAGGATAAGGAGGAAGCAGTCCAGTCTGGTGATCTGCGGCCTCCCCTGGTTAGTCAAGACGGTCACGCCCTGAGTCATGCTCTGGCCCTCACATGAGCCATCAGCAGACAGGAGTGTTTCAGGAGACTTTGAACAAGTAGGGTTGTGCAATCCAGCCAAGGCATTCTCAAACACTCATTTGCAGAGAAAGGTTGAGCAACGAGCACTCATTTACTCGCAAAGAAAGGCTCCCCCGCGTGAGAGAGAGGAAGAGGGAAACCTGCTGAACCTGGCAACTTCTGCAAAGAAAAGACAAAAAGCCCACGTGGCCACTTCGTGCACAGAGCTGATTTAACGCCACTTTGAACCCAGTGATACAATTTGACAATAATTAACTGAATTAATTATATCTAACAGGTCATATATAACCTTAAATAAAAGCCATTGAAATCACAGGCAGTTTTCCTGCTGAATTCAATAACTTTTGGGCCTCAGCATGCATCAGGCACCAACTGTACTTTGAAATCTGGCACAAGGCCATCTTTCTTTCACAGGCTTGTGGAGTGATCCAGGCTGGCAGAGGGAGCCCTGGAGGTCACCAGTCCACCCCCAGCTCTAGTGGGGCTGCCTTCCAAGGTTGCTCAGGGCCCCATCTTTTCAGGGCTGGAGATCATACAGCCTTGCTGGGGCCCTGGTCCAGCATTTCAACCCCTTGCACTGTGAAAAACAGTTTCCTCCTGTTGCAAAGATACTGCCTGTCCCACCAGAGTTGCTCCTTGGGTGGGTGTTGCTACTGTGGGATACTGGCCAGCTCTGCTGGCAGTGCACAGGACTTGTAATATTTATGCTGTCTCCTGCCTCTTTTGGGGTATCGTGTCCCTAGAAAAGAAGTGGCCTCTGATTCAGAATTGCCTGAGCTCTTGGCACGAAATGCTGACTTAGTCAGGACTTGAGCTTAAGGGTCCTTCCCCTATGAGGCTCCTCCAACCCTGTTCTCACAGGGGAGAAGCTGAGCACAGGAATGAGACACCTTCAGCCTCCTGCCCTGCGGTGGGCACGGCTGCTCAGCACTTACCTTACTCCATCCTGGTAAGAGAAGATGCAACTTGGTTTGGGCAGAGCTAAAATACTACTACTTACTGGTATCTCTAAAAAAGTGTATTATCTTCAACTCCAGGTGAATTGCATTCTGCTTTATTGCAAGTAGAGAAGGGAGGGTGGTTACAGGCACTCTGAACAAAACTGTGTGTTTTAAGTTTGCATTATATAGAAATAGCATACAGCATACTGTGGAGGCTGATGGTGCCTCCTGCCCCCCAGATCCTCTCAAAGGAAAGGTGATGAACTGCTGTGAGCAGCAGGATGGTGGGTTGAAACACGCGGCAGATTTGGCACAGAATGGCTGGGAAAAGGGCCTTGAACTGCTAGCAGCAAGGATGAGGAGGACAGGAAGCCCTGGCTGGTGCAAATTACGCTGTTCCCAGGGGTTACGGACAGAGCTAGCTATTCTGCTCGGGAAAGGCTTTTGTAAATTACACAACCTGAACTTGGCCCTGTTCTGCCCAGCGGTGACAATTTGCGGGGAACCTGACAGTTTTCCATATTCTGCAGATGCCATCCCTGCACCCTGGCATTCTAGGAATGGCAGCCCGAGGAGCTGCATGCCAGCAGGAAGAGTGAGGGTGTCTGTGCTTGCCCAATACACCACAAGATGCTCTGTCGCAAGACTGACCTTGCACAATCTTGAAATTATTTTCTCATCAGGTTCTACCACCATCTCAAAATAAACAGCCGCCATGCAGGCACTAAGCCTGCGTGGTGCTATTTGGAGGCCTTAAAAAACAAATGTATTGATCAGCACAGGTGAAGGTTGTTGGTTTTTTCTTCTGCGGGGCTGTTCCCTGAGTGACTGCAAAGGAAATGGGTCTCTGGCTGCGCACTGGAAATCCAATAGCACATTAATGCTTTTTATGGGGCATGGATAAGAATCTGCTGCATCTCAGACAGCATCGTGGGTGCAGTGACATATTCAGCAGGTTGCTTCTTGCTTTCCTTTCGGCACATCCCCGAGGGGAGGGTTAACAACACCATGGGCAGCACTTAGGGTGGTGAAGCTCTGAAAACCACTCTCGCAGGAGGAAACAGAACAACCCCACTCTTTCATGTTTCAGCTTTGTATCCTCAGAGCTACGACGGTCTGCAGGAAGGCCAGGACAATATGATGATAGTGAGGTGCAAGTGCCACCTGGGTGTCAGTAATGTGTGAAAATAAAAATGTGTGCCAGCAGCCAATTTTTCATCTGGTAATTACTTTTTGAGGCCTACTTAGTACGGCTGGAGGCTCTTGGCTGTAAAGTGATGCTATCTGCGGAGAACCTGGAAGGACCTTTTTCCCCTCCACATTCTAGATATGAAAATTCAAAAGGCCAAAAGCCTCTTCTGGATACTTCAGAAGAAAATGGGCATTTTTAAAGAGTGAAGAAAATTGTTAAAAACTACAAACTGATGATGCTAGGTGCTTGAGAAGCAGGCTGGATTTCTAGGGCACAGAACACCTCTAAAAGCAGAAATGTGTAAAACTTAGCAGATTTAATGTATATATTCAAACAGGGCGTTGGAGGAGCCATTTTTTTCTGTTCTTTCAAAGTGATTTGGGGCTTTTGGCACCCTCTTTTGTGATAGCAGCCAGACTGCCTAAAAGCTGTCCTATGTGGCCAACCCCCTCCACCTGCCATCAGGGGAACACCTGCAACACATTCAGGCACTCGAGAATTTCATACTCTTATTTTTAGATTTCTGCTAAAAAAAAAAACAGCTTTACAGCTGAAAAGAAACAAGAAGTAACTCAAAAGCAGCTCATATCTGAACTTTCAACAACCCCCAAGGTGCAAACTTTCATTTCTTAATTCAGTAAATGCTAATTCCATATACATTTACCTTTTCCCATCCCACTTAACACTAGCTGTGCTCAGGGATTTCTCTCACTCACTCACTCACTCACTCAGCTGAAGGCGATAATGCTCCTGGCCTTGCCTGGCTCTTCTTTATATAAAAGCAGTTTCAGTTACACCCCCCCACAGTCCCTCTCCTCTGCGTGGAGCTACCTAGAACTCTCCATCCTGGAGATGTTAGTTTAGTTTTTGTCAAAGTTTGTTCTTTTCTTGTGGAGATAAGGTAATTTTTCATATTTTAACACACTTTGGAAAGAACCCTGAAGTATTTCTGTATCTTGTCTCCATGTGTAAGAAGGCATAGGCAACCTGCAACTATTTTGAATCCCTTCATAACCTCTAATTTGCCCCTTGCTTGTCATTTACTGAGTCACCTCAAAGGAATAGTGCCTTCAAATGTGATTTGGGGCTTTTGATATTTTTTGTTATTGTTGCTTTTGGGTTGAGGTTTTGGGGTTTGTTTTGATTTTTGTTGGCTTGGTTTTGTTTGTTTGTTTTTTGTTGGTTTTTTTTTTTTTTTTTTTAATGACCTGTCTTATAAAAGGCAGACAGGGGATGGATAATCTACTAATGCAATATCATAAAATTAATTTGCTCTCATTCATCTTCAAGACACAATATATCTATGTTGCCTTGTAGGTTGATGAAACAGTCAACTTTATTTTTATTCCCACAGGTTTGTGTGTACATACATTTAATTATAGCATACTGGTGCTAAATTTACAGCATTAGGTATTTGTCTTTTTTCTTTGGGCAACAGCGCTTTCTACCCACAAAGGCTTTTACTGTTCACAGTTTAACTGTGCTGTTCACATCCGATAGTTCTTGAATGCAACTAATTTCTTTAAACTGTTAAGGAGTTAAAGCTTAAAGAACAGGCTTTGGTTTCTTCACTCTTTAACCCATCTGCAAATTAGTCACTGTAATACAATTCATTAACTCTTTTAAAAAGCTAATAGTTAGCTCTAGTATAAGAACATCTTCCAGAATTAATGACTCAATGTTTAAATTTTACACAGATGTAGCAATCACTCATAGGCGGCTTGTAGTGTTCATCCAGAGATTCTTAAGAGCATTGCGCTTCGAAGCAAATCATCCAGAGATTCTTAAGAGCATTGCGCTTTGAAACAAATCACCTATCTTGAAAGCTGCAGGTGGTCTGTCAGGATGCCTCTGTCAAACCAGCAGACTGTCAGCAGGTGGGGGTGCAAGGGAGAGCACCGTCAATCGCCTCAGCTCCCGGTACAGTTCCTGTGCAGCGGTTGGCTCTCTTCGTGTTGCATGCATGTAAAGTCTAGATTATTACAGTTATGAAAAGTTATGATTTGTAGAAAGGGTTATATGAGGAACTGTTGTTTCCGTCAATGCCCAAGGCACACTTGATCCATGGCCAGGCATATTCTGCAACAGAGAACAGTAATGATGAGACATTCTATAGGGGCCCTGCTCTCAAACTAGTTCCCAAACGGACTGCAGCAGGATGCCCCCAGGAGCGGAGGCAGCAGTTCTTCAGCTTCTGGGCTGCATGTGCACGCTGCCTAAACTACCACTCCACCCTCCCATTCCCTACCCCTCTGCTCTCCTCTCTCCCTTTTCATCCTCTCGCATGATTCACAAGCTAGGATCGTATCCTCCACCACAAACTGCAAAGACGGACTTTCAACACTATGCTTCCCTTGTCCCTACCACACCACCGTAAGGGTCAGCCTGGACCATTATTTCCCTGCTTTCCTACCACACTCTCACAGATGAGGGCCCTAGCACCATTATTTCCTCACCAGAACGCAGCAGTGCTGTGGTGTTCTGAGCCAGCGGCGGAGAAAATACAGCAGTTCTCAACCTTGCTTCAGTGTAAGATCACACAGGAGTTACAGGGCAACACCCTTGCACCAGTGATGCTATTATATGTTATGTGGTGCAGTGGGATCCTCTGACTGGCTGTAATTTCCCCTGAGAGTCTTCGACAATGAAATTAAAGGGTTACTGGGGAAGTGGATCATTACAAGTGGGATGGGACTAATAATGGTATGTTTTCCAAAATAAGCATTCATAACTTTAGAGTGAGAACTTTACTGACAAAATGTTCAACAGAGCAGAACAGGTGAGAAGCCTTTGATATTTGGCTTTATCTGTCTATTAGCTTCTGCTTCTTTAGTCACAGATAATCCTACACAGTGTATCTGGGAACCTCATTACCTGTCAATGGAGTATCCTCCTTCACAAAGGTTGACCAAGATATACAGCTGTCTCAGTGCATACTCATACTGAAATAAACAAACATTGTTAATAATATCAGTGATGAAGAGCAGGTATTGCTTATCCAAACTAAACTGTGGAAGTAATTTAGAGATACTATTAATATTCACAGTGTTTAATCGATCATCTCGATGACCCAGTACTAGGCTAAATCTATCTTTCTTCTGTGCACTTTGCTCTTTGGAATTCATTGGGAAAATTCAGCTGTTGCCGCACAATGGCCCCTTAGGCAAAGCTCACCCATCGAACCAATTTCATTCAGAAAACCCACAAAACCAAAAAAGCACTAAAGAGGAGCTAAAAGTATAAGTGAGCAGTGTGGCCTCCTAACAACCTGGTTGATTAGAAGCTCCAGGGGAAGGAGTGCATCTCCTTTAGATCTGTATACAGTACTTAATCTTGGCTAACTACAAGGTTTCTACTTTCTGCTAAAATCAGTTGACTCATCTTGCCACACACCACTGCCTGCTTGGGCTATCCTGCCTGACATCAGGACTGGTGTTTCTGGAATAGCAACTGACCTTTCTTATTCTTGTCTAAACAGTGTTTACCACAACAGGATTTGGTTCTCAACCAGGATCCCAGGCAGAGTAGACAGTGATAAAACCCCTAAACTAAAAAGAGGCTCTCAGGAATTCAACAAGACCATGGAAGTAGTGGCTACGTTGTCACAAGGAACTAATGCCACATGCAGTCGTAATACAGAAATCTGAATATACCAGGATTATGAATTCACAGTGGTGGTGCCTGTATTTCTGTTCTGCCAGTAGAGATGTTTCAAGCAGAAATACAACATGACTTATTTAATATTGGGATTTCTGGGGAGGGAGTTGATGAAGGGACAGCACTAACTAATAAAAATTAGGGATTATTTTTGGTTTTGTTTTTACTAAAAGTATTTTTAGTAATCTTCTTGCTTATCTACAGGCGTAGTGGAAGTGGTTTCCTGCTTCCAGAAACATTACTTAGCCTTTCCTCCAAAATTAAGGTATATGACTTCCCCCAAGCTTATTTTTTAAGAAAAACTGATTTTGCAGATGTGCTCATGACTACTGTGCTCATTTTACCAGTACGTTTATCAGGTTATATCTAATGCTTGACTTACCATGGGCAGGTGCCAGTTAAAACAACGAGCTTTGAGGTTGTTCACCACTGCCTGGTGGCAGTCATAATTGCTGATGATCAGCCTGTCTGACAGAATTTGGTTGGTCTGTTCTATTGATCCTGTTACTAAGGTGACTATCTTCCGCATGGATTCTTGGATAAATTCTTTCACCTGCACATAAAACAACAAGATCTTAAAACATGTTTTTTTTTTAAAACCTGATTTGAAGGGTTTGAATGAAATTTCTCTTTCTTTAAACCTCCCTCAACTCTTGGGAGTTTTAGAGAACCCAATTTTGCCATTTTTTATAGCACGGTCTTTTGGACCGGTCTCTTAACACACAAATGAAAACTAGGGAGACAGAAAGTCAGACTCCTGGCACCAAAAATCACTCACTGTCCTTCTAGTGTTCTACCAGAAGAAAGAAAACACCAATACCACCAATACTGACTACCATCCTGCAGGAGCTATTTATTTTGGGAGACTTCAGTTCTACCGAGACAAGAGTTTCTTTAATACCAAAGAAAAACTCCTCCCAACCAGAATCCCTACGGATGCAGATGAGGAACTTCCTGGCAATAAAATCTATGAGACTGATTTCTGCATTTGCTTACATTTGCCTAGATAATCACTACTCAATGTGCCTTGTGGAACAGATCCCTGAATTTTAAAGGGAGAGTAAACCATCAGCTAGACATTACCAGTGTGAAGAATAATTTTGTTGTAATTTGCAAAACCAGGATGCAATCCCCTTGGCTTCAGGGGTGCTATTTCTGCTGTTGCTTATGATGGAAACAAATTTGAGCTGATGTGTACTTCAAAGTTTTTCTTTGTTTACCTCCAGGTGTGCTTTCATCTCTGCAGCAATCTTCTTAGCCTCATCAGCGTCACTGGCAGCCATCAGCTTTCGTTTCATGATTGCAAAAGGCATATCAGTAGTAGGGGTCAGGTCATAGTGTCCTACAGGTGGCAGAGAAATGGGGATGGCTTTCTTCCCCATGCCCTGAAACTGCATCAATTTCATGGAGGAGATGCTCTGAAGGTTAGAAAGTAAACAAATGGAAACTGTCAATCACCTCTAGTAGGTAATCTGTCTTTGCTTTGCCATGCAAATCTAACTCTCTAAACTTGCTTTATTAGAAAATATAAGGGAGGTCATAGGGTTGTGTGTGTGCACACGTTGGGTTTTTAAAAACAAAGTCAAGACTGCCAAAAATCAGGGAACTTTTATTTCTAAAACTCACTGTGGGGAAAAAAGACTGTCAGGTTAAGTAACCTGACTTCTTTTTTTAATAAATATTTATTCCGCTGAATAATGGGACTATTATAAATGATATATCACCTCTTAGCTCTTCCCATTCGAGAGATCAATGTACTTACTAACATTTCATTAACATTCATAATATGCCTGGAAGTGGTAAATACCCTTCTTAGATTAGATCGAGGTGTTAAATTATTGGCAGATCTTGGACAATTCGTATCCTGACTCCTTGGATTGAAGTGTAAGAAGGCTGTATTTCCTTTAGCAGCAGGACCATCACCACTTAAGTGGTCTTCCAAGATGAAGTTTCATTTTCTAAATCAACCCTACCTGTTTACAGTGATTTGATTTTTTTTTTTTTCATTTTTTTAAGGGATGAAAGAATAGGGCACAGAAGTTTTAAAATATATCCGACCAGGCAGCCCACTCAAATACACACCTTGTTTCCATACTGCATCACGTGGCTGGTGTTGGTGCGTTTTTTCACTAGCTGAAACTGCTTATGGAGTGTTTCTTTCCTTAGATCCTCCTGCATGAAGAAACTTCCATGTGGTCACAGATACTTAAATTCAGCCATTCTAAAAATGCAAGGAAACCTGGCAAGAGTCTTAGCTGCCAGTACGCAGAAGAACGTACAGGGAGAGCTATGCAACCTTTGAAAGACATAAAAGTAAAAACTGGAAAATTTTGACAGGATATTTGCAAATTGCTCTTAATGATCTCCTAATCTCCCAGAAAATGGGCGAGAAGGCAGTGGGCTAGCGTACAAATCCCAGATTTGTTTAATTAGTACGGTTTTCCATTATGCTAACACGTGGGTTAGCCACAGTTCAGTATTTAAAGATCCCCGAAGCAGAGGTACAACCTACTGAACTACCCAATTTGTTTCACAGATTTGGAGATGTGGTCTCACATTAGCAAATCAAGATCATGTGAATTTGAAGCTAGAAGTTAGACAGTTTCTGATCTTATAAATAATAAAAGAAGACAACGTTTCTAAAAGTTACTTTCAGAAATAAATTTTGTGGCCCAAGCGAATAAAGATTATATATGGTTCTGAGTAGTAGATAAATACTTTTAACAACTCAGTCTGTTGATTTCAGTCTCACATAAACCCAGGTATTTTCAAACATCCTCTAAAGGAGATATTTTTTAAAAGCCTAGTGATTTTTCATGCATGGAAATGCAGAAAACCCCATCTAAGGTACTTGCCATATCTGAATCTTCCATCCAATTGACACTGTACCAGTCCCCAAGATAAGTCTGCCTTTCGTCATCGTAGTAACATGCGTAAGATGACTCTCTGGCATTGGAAGCTGTTGTTGCATAAACTGTAAGACACAGAGAAAGTAATTTTCTTCAACTCCCCCTCATGATTTAGTACTTAGCTGCACATGATATATTTGTCTAAGTATTCTGGCTTTCAAACTTTTGCTTCTAAATAGCAGGAAGGAAAGAAGCCTTTTAATCATTCTGTTCAGTCTGCCCAAGGAGTGTTGTAAGAGCTCCTTCCTTACTGCCAAATGTGTGGTCTGGGGTGTTTTAAGAAGAATATGTGCTTCTGAGGGAAACATCTACTATTCAAAGTTCTGCCTGAGAACACTGTGCACTGACAACCACCTATACACTCATTCTCTTTATTACAATAATGAGGACTTTATCCCAAACTTGGAGTAAATTCCCTAAATCACCTTTTCTTCCAGAAAATGCTACCTTCTAAGTAATATCTATTATTGGATGACACTGGAGAGAAAAGCAAAGCAAACCTCTACGACACCTGCCCCAAGCACAGTGTTCCCAGTAAGTCTTCTCTAATGCAACAGGAATACTGTAAACACCTCTTTACAGGTATTAAGGCCAAAGTCAATTCAAACCTTACTTGTGCAACTGAAGGAAAGTCCGAGTTTCAAAATGAGAAAGTGTAAGGCATGCTTTTATACAGCTATAGTGTTGTTTCTACTCAGAGTGTACCTGAGGTTCAAAAGGCAAAAGAAGTCTTAAATCCTGTCTTTATAGTAAAGTGCTGCTCTTAGCATCCTTTTAAATGCTTACTAAGTAACCAGTTAAGCTTTGCAGCTCACTATTGAAGGCTGCCAAAGACACCTTCAGAGTGTAATACATCAATTGTCAATTTTCTGCTTTTGTAAGTCTGTGACAGAGCTGGTGGTAAATCCAGAGTTCTCAGACTGGAAATTTCTAATAGAACAAACTTTGAAAAATGCTGATTCACCGAGCATTTATCATGAACAATTCTCAATATGAAACATCCTATGTAAACCTTCTGTAAATCCTTGACAGAGCTTTAAGAAGTCTAGGTGGGTGCCAGGCAGCATACTCCAGGGACAAAGACCCAGGAAGCCATGGACGGGCACGTGGTTGGTCTTCCCTGGAATCACAGCTTCAAGACTACAAGAAAGTCAGAGCACTCAGTCTCCCAGCTACGGAACAGGAGTTTGAAAAGATTGTGATTCCTCATCCTAATCAAGGCTGAGCTCCCAGCTCTGCAGCAGAGAGTTTAGAAACCCTGAAAAATCAGAGTTCCGCTTCCTGGGTTATTGTGCAAATGAGTGTAGCAAAATTTCCTGGCAGTGGTGTCTCACAAGTGCCTTTGCTACTCAATGAAAGTGACGGCAGGAACTTCACACCTGCTGCTAGCAGTGCTGAGGCTGAGAAATGCCAGTATAACCTAACTGCTACCAGCTAAGGGCAACCACATAGTTCCTGAAAATAAACACTTTTTCAACATCTCATTTGCAAGAAACTGAGAGCCCTGTTAAGTCTGTATAAGACTCCATTAATTATTTAAAAGGAACTTCCCATAAATGAAAAATATTACTTTCTCCAATTCTTGTGCTCCCCTGATAAAACTCGAGATAAAAATGCTTTGAACCTATCCCTGACACAGTATCCGTTTAGGTCTGCAACAAGTTGTGACATTTCAGTCCAGTAAGTTAACTGATCGCTCACCATTGATATTATCAGCCAAATGATGCATCATAGATCCAGACTCACATGCTTCAATGTAAAACACCATCTATAAAATAAATCAGAGATCTTAAATTCCATGAGGAAATGGACAAAAGTCCTTCAGTGCTTTTCAGCTGTAGCTAGTTGGCCTGTACTGCTATCCTTGAAAGAAAAGCTATCCGTAAGGCTACAAAATAAAACACAAAAGCAAACGGATCAATTTTTCATTTTGGGGAACTAAACTATGTGGAAAGGGGAAACAATCGTGATTAAAAAATGCTATTAATCTCTACAGAATCCACAGGTATCTACTGACCAATGTACAAAGCACAGACCAAATATACAGCCACTCTTTAGGCACAGCAATGTACCACTACTGAAGGTAGTATTTCAAGAATCAGTAGCCATCTATGTGTTCCTAAATACAGCCGTCCACAGTAGATGGATTACCACAGAAAGCTGCTTAAAAAAGGCAAGCTACTACAATGTTTTAAATATTAATTTTTCTGCTAAAAAACTACATGTGATGAACTAAATGCACAGAATTTTCTGACAAGAGGTACAATCTCTTAAACTATATTAGTAACTGCAAGAGAAACATGAGGTACAAGCTTCCTGTAGTAACAGTGCCGTCTGAAGTGAACAAAGCACAGGAAGAAAGAGTCAGGTACATATTATGAGGGTTCAGTAGTTACGGATGTTATTTCTCCACCACTGGTCAGAACATATACCGTTATCAAAAGGCAGTACACCACACCTCAACATTGGCTGCAAATATATAGTAAACTAAAAATGGCAAGAGAAAATTTCGAAAGGATCAATCCTTTTATGTGCAAAATCCTAATCCAAATTGCACTGCATGGCAACAGCTTCCTCCTGCTTGATGCAGCTCTCAAAATGAAGATAAATCTCTCTCTCCCATGCCAGCTGATCTTTTAATCTCACAACTTCTGATATGCTTGCTTACCTTCCGGTATTTTTTGTGATGATACATATGCCAAATAGTCTTATTCAAGTCCTTTACATGAAGCTGTAAAATAAGAAGGCTTGTATTAAAACCACTTATGTTCAATAGACACACAATTCACTTAATAGGAATAAATACCGTTGTGAATACGTATACTGTTTCCCATTAGATATATCCAGTGCTTCATCCTTCTGAAATAAAACGTTCTAGTATTTACCACTCTGGAAAAGATGAGTAATGGTCCCAGATGATATGTACAGTGCACCAGAAAGCCAAGTCATAAACTGTGTGAAACAGCCTGCTTGGACCACACCAAAATCCAATGAAATATTAAATGACATAACTTAATTTCAACTGAATTCTTCAGATTCAAACTGGAAAAAATTCAAACTGCAGCGATGAGGAGAACATTGCTCTTTCTCTGCCTCCACCGTCAATACGACAGTGCATTAAACATTCTTGTGCGTTTTACATTTATTATCATTTTAGTATGTCACTAAAAGGATGTTTTTTATGACAAAGTAATCCCGCAAAATGCTTACATCATCATCAGGAAAAGCCAGAAGTCCTGGAGCTCCATGGTCAGTGAAATAAACAAACACATGATCCTTGGGACCACTGTAACAGAAAAATTGCAAACGAATTCTTTCTAACCACTCCAACCAAATCTTCATTACAACAACAATCATCCGCTTCTCAATGCCAAGACATGTCAATATTTGAAAACGATACAGCTGAAGCACCTCCTCCTCTTGGTAATATTTTTTTCCTCCCAAAGCATACCACTTAGGGTGCTTATGAGAGGAGACGAGTGTCGGCAAAAGGAGTGAAAACAGGGCTACAGGCTAGTCCCTCAAACATGGGGAATACGGAAATTACACGACATGTTTCAAACTGTAAACTGACTGCCAGTGAGGCAGGGGCTGGTACGCCAAGTGTGGCGGGAGAGCGATTGTTTTTTCATGCATACCTGAGGAATCTGTCATACTGTGGGCATTTGCAGCAGTCTGGTAAAACAGAAAGACTTTTATAACTAAGTTATACCAAGGCACCAACAACACAGGGATAAACCATAAAAACTTCTTTGGTGAGATCCTTGGGCATGTTTATGTACCACCTCGTTGTGATCGGTGTGGCCATTCTTTGCCAGATCAGCGCCAGCCTACGCCTCCGTGAGGAACTGATGCGCGCCCAAACCCCCCGGTTAGGCTGGACTGGCGTTTGCACTGAGTGGCTCTCAGTCGGCTGAGCACTGCCTGCTCACGGGCTTGGATTCCCCAACGTCGGTGTAGCACGCTGTTTGCCGTAGATTTTTACTGTACTCTAAAGCAAACAGATGACGTTTGGGTGATCTTCGGGTCTTGCCCCGACAGCCAGATCTGCAAAGGGATTTTGCTTTTAAACTCTATTCAGGGACAATTAAATATAAAATATGTGAACAGATTGGAAGGAGTCCCCCAAGCCCTCCTCTTTTCCTCTGTGTCGGTGGTCCAGGAATACGTATCTGCCTTTGCTCTTTCCTGACTGCAAAGAGGTACAACTACAGCAGCTCAAGGGGACATTGCCCAGCCTTCCGCCTGGCCGATAACCTGCTGGTTAGGAAACAACCTGGAAGATGATCTAGAAGTGTTCTGGGCAGAGGGTAACTGAGTTCTTGTCCATTGTCCCCCCCCAATAGCAGAAGTCAGGCTGCTGGGAAACTCCCACAACAGAGCCTAACAAAGAAGGGCTCGGTGTTATTTTTCTGGGTCCCACTCTTGACCCTAAGCGCAAAAAATTTGACCACTGAAACGTAAATAACTAGGACTTTTACATGTGGGTTCAAGATGTCCTCCTGAGTAGCTAAGGGTCTTCGGCCCTCTGCATAGCCACTCCCTTATTTGACTTGTAACATCAAGCTTCCACAGGTGAGGTGTGTTCTGAAGTACTTTTTTTTTAATGAAAAATATTTTATAGCCACTCTTGACTCATTCCAGCTACTGGAAGAGAACAATCTAGTCAATGTGCAGCAGTTTATTAACTTCTTCCCTATAATGATATTTGCCTTGCATATACCATTTTCTATCTCAGCTTTTCAGGATGAAGTTTAAACAATTGAGCGATAGCTTATTCAATTCCTGTCCCGATCCTTCTTTTTTTTTTACTGTCCCCAATGCCAGGGCAGGATTCTTCTGTTCCGTTTCATTGCTTTGCCTCTAAAATTAAACTGTCAGATGAAGATAGGTACTTCCACAATTTTTCTTTAACTAGGTTAGTCCTTCCAAGTGGTCAAATTTAAATTCTTAAAGGTTTTACAGGAAATACTGTACATAGAAAAATATAATATAACTCTTTACCAGCAGTATTGAGTCAGAAATATAAAGCACCTTAGGTAAATAGGCATCATATTTTCATATCCCAAACTCTGTAGAAGCAAGAAGAATAACCGATACCAGGTCTCTTTGCAAGAGGTCTTCTAGTTAGGCCGTCAAATGTATTGCTTTTATTCTTAAATCGTCTAAATTATAAACTACACTCATTAATTACAGATCTTACATTCTACTTAGCCAGTCTACAATTTATTATTGTTTGTATACTAGAATATTGCCAAACTTACAATCATTTCTGTAACTTAGTTTACAAATACCTTAACTACAATACATAAATTACAAGGTCAATTGCTTATACTACTCTTCCAATCACAAATAGTTTTTTCGCATTAAATATAAACCATAATTCAATTTCATTACATTCAAAGACTCACTAACCTTACATCTGCCACAAAGACCAAGGCTGGGATTAGATATGCAATTCTTTCAACTGCTTAAGCTATCTCTGTTCCTCTGCCACTGACTGCTAAGTCTCACCACTTCAGGTGACTAATACAACTGCTCGTGTACATTAAGTCAAGCCTTGGCAAACCCTTTCTAGAAGTCTCCAAACTGTAATAAAACTCTTTTTGAATATCCACTCTTGCAAAAGACAATAGTCTAGAGAAAAAATACCTTAATACAGTTGAACCTATCTTCTAGAGTTTTTATACCCTAATCTATTCCGGACCAGTCAAGTATCAGCAGTTGCTTCTTGGTGCTGGATAGTTTAAGAAACAAGAACCGTTGTATTTCTAATGTGAATGGCCTGGAATTGCCATCAATAGTCTTGCTGGATTCTCAAGTTGCTCTAATTTACCCTCTTCTTTTGTTGAAAACAGTGCCAATGCACAACCATACAATTACTTTCTAAATTAAACCTCTTACCTTTTCAGTACTTTTCCTGATCCCACACCCTTCACTGCTTCCACATCTCCTCGGAGAACAGCAAGGAAATTCTTTGAAGTAACATCCTAAGGTTTTAAGAGAATTAAAGTTTAATCTCAAAACAAAAACAACAAAATCTTCATTTACAAAGATGGCTTCTGGAAGTCAGAATCCATGCATGAAGGGCGAGTTTAGCTGTCCATTCTTTTCAATCCATCATTATATAATGCATTAGCCACTGATGACTCACTTGGATACTGAATCGCGAAATCACCGAGTGATTGGATTACTGTTCTGATTTGATAAAACAGCCTTACACAACTGTTCTTCAAACTGAGTTACAATATTTATGAATGCAAGACTTTTCCTCCTTTTATTTGGTGTGTTAGCACAGAAACGGTGTAAAGGTTTACTCTTATGGTTGCTGCTTCATTTCAAAGCATCTACTCTTTATAATTATCTTATGAACACCAAACCCTGCCAAACCATGCAGGTGAATAAGCTTTACACTACGTGTCTTTTGGAGTGTAAGCTACTCCTTTCAGTGTAGGCTGAAAGGATTTATTCAGAATATTGGCTAATGCTGAACCTTCCCTGGGGAATGGCATTGCATTCGTACCTCCTTTGTATAGTCCTTGGGCACTCCAGCATACACATCTGTGCCATTAGGTCTATTGATGACAATGCCTTTTGTTGGATTTCTGAAAGTTAAACAGAACATAAATATGAATAATCAGCCACATGCCATACAAAGACCTGAGAATAACCAGGAAACCATTTAAACTGCCCTGACTGGCCAGCTTGCCTGAGAGAGAGTATGGGTGCTTGCACCATGTGTCGTTAAGTGATCTCAGAATATGAAGGCCTTTTCACTTCAGTCAGTTATGTATGCTTGCCTCAAGTGTCCTTATCCTCAGAGTACCTTCAAGTATCCTGCCTCAGACCACGTCGATTAATCTGAAGATGCAGGCAGGTGGCCTCTTACACTACCATCTCTCTACCTTCAGTCTTGCCTTCAGTCCCCTCTACTTTTTGCTCCCAGTGCTGCTGTGCATGTGAAGCCCGCTGATCTCTGCTGAAGTTGTCTCAGAATCAGAGGCTGTGTAACTGAACTGCTTCATATAGGAAGCAGTGATACACTCTAGATAATCACCAAGAACGGGACATGTGCACTTTGTTGAAGGTACATTCTGGGAATTAATCCGATAATGTCCTTTCAAAAAAGCCCTGCAAGTAATACACAGAGCTTCCCTATGTTTGTGGTTTTAGGCTATATACTCGCTGTAAAACGTTATGCCTGGGAGTTAAGATCACTTACTCTCCTAACAATGAAGTTCTGCAGTCCTCAGTGCCACAGCTGATGCTGAGTTGTGGAGCAAGGCTTGGAAAGCCCATGAGCACATTTCAAAGGAGAATTATTGTGCTGACGGATAAAACCTCTCTATGCATATCACAGGTAGTTTTAAAGGCTTTCCTTACAAAACTACTACAAACCCAGAACTCTGTGGTGACGATGGCATGTTTGTAGTAACCATATAGTTTGTGACTTAGGCACATTCATCACTTACTCATCATTATCAGCAATGTCATCATACATCATGACAATGATCTGTTCATCTGGAATTCCATTTCGGTGTACGATCTGGTACGCATGGCACACGTCTGCCTGAAATTAAGCAGATTTTCATTACTAGCTTAACAGAGATGTCACCTTTGAGACCAAAAGAAAAATAGCTTTGCAGGCCTAAGAGCAGGCTATTGTCCAAAAGAAAGTGCATTCAAATATAAGAGACTGAGGGTTGCTAGAGGACTGAAGGGCATAGGTTAAACCAAAACTCAATGTCTTTAACTAGGAGTATTTGCATTAATAATAGAGACTATGATTAAAATTTCTCTCTAATTTGCCTATTTCCATTTCTTATTTAAACACAAAACTGAAGTTACTTTAGACTTGGTACAGATAACAAAATTTAACAAAAGGTTCTCAATAATGTTCCGTGTTCTGTGAGAAAATCTAAATGAAAACCTTGTGCACTGACAGACAAATCCAAAGTGTGCCAAGCAGAAGAAAAGAGTTGGATTTCCACCAATTTCAATTAGTTCTGCACCAAGCCTGCATGACTAAGCATGAAAGACTGTCCTTGGCTTAAGCAAGTATGGTTTACCAATCTCATCTCTCCAATGATTTTATTAAGTTTTGTTTTATTAGATGAGAATTTTGTTTAAGGAAAATTTCATTTTTAATTATATATTTCTTGTAGAGTAAAACTGAAGCAACTTCAGGGCAAGAAAACAGATTTCTGTGGAATACAGAATTGCAGAATTTCTGTTGAGGCTCTTTTCCTGACTTGCACAGGATATGAATAAGCAGATTTTCTTTACAGAACCATCTTCCCATGATGCAGAAATAACAGTACTCATCAAAGTGATATTACAGTAAATGTAAACCTCTATCAGAATGCTAAATTCTTAGTAATCCCAGCCCAAATAATTCTACTCTTTTAGACTTGCAGTCTGTGAATGACCTAATGGGATATTAACAATCATTCCTAAACTCTAGAACTACAACCTACCACATGCTAGAAAAAGCTGTGCAGATTTAATGGAAGAAATCTCATCTAAAAAATGCACACTCCAAATGCAGGCAAGAAGCAAGTCTTAAAGCTTGCTTCTGCTGAACTCCTCTAATTTGCTGGTTTGTAAACCAAACTGAAGTGGTTTAAGTGGACCTACGTAGGTTTAGATGGCTTAGGAGTACTAGTGATTTTGACTAGTTTAACTGAAAGGGCACTGTAAAATCCCGTCACTTTATAATCCCTGGTCTTCTAAATGTCGCTGAAGCTGAAAAGGAAGGGTAGCTGTGCAAGACTCTGGGAAGGGTGAGGAACATTCAATGCCAATGATCTCTCCCTCAGCAAAATACGTTCACATGACTGACCCTGAACATTAAATTATCCTTACTAAAGCAGTTCCATTTCCTACTACACAGATCAGCCTACGTTCTCTTCCACCTGTCCCAGACAATCTCCACTGTTTCTAGTTCTCCACTTCCTTGCACGTCCTTACACCAGCTGCTGCTTCAGCAAGTCAAAAGGTAGAGGTTAAATGGAGTTAAGGCATCACATATAATATGAAACAGCAGAGTGCAGGTTTGACTAAACACGTGCTTGATTTTCAGAAGCAACCCAAGCAGAAGAAAACACTAATCAGGGCTTCTCTACACTGATTGATGAGTAGATCATAGATCCCTCTTCATTCTCAAGACATAATACACTTTCATTATGCTGACAGAAACAGTTACAGGCTGGCAACACTATTGTGACATATCAATATACTCAATCAGCAAGTGTCTGTGCTCCCAGACACATGTGGCTGGCCAGCTAGGGACTTCAGAGGTGGTTTTAATTAATACCAAAATACCCCAAATTAGTTAAGCTTGTAAATGCAAATAATCGGGGTTTTTTTGTCTCCTCTCTCCTCCCTTCCAATTCATTGGCCATTTGCTCACTGTGTCCTGTCTTAGTAAAGTAGATATTGGTGGTAAGTTTAAATGGCTTAAATTCTCTAGTGTGGAGGGAAACAGATCAACGTAATCGACTCCTCTCAACCTTAACTCATGCCCATTTGGGGATTGACCCAGCCTTTTAAGGCTTTTGCTAAGTGAACTGTGCCCACTGGTAGCATAATAATATCACCAACGTAGGCTAGAACAGCAAAAGCAACTCCATTGGCTAAAGTAGGGCAGTTCTGAGTAAACAGTTGTGGGGTTTTGCATAGAATTTGCTGACCTGACTAGCCTTTGATCTTGGTCACATGCTCCTCCTGTTCCCTCCATACACATAAAAAAAAATATCTATAAACCAGAATAGAGACAGTCTGCTGCTAGAGTGGGGAGGCGTATGTGAACCTGGAGTATTTCCTGTTGATGTGCAACTGCCTCTCAAATACAGATATTTGAGCCTTGTTTCTTCCAGAAATATTTTTGGCCTATCTGTACCTGTAAACTACCCTAAAAGAAGCAGTTAGTGTTACTCCAGATCTCTTGCTGGTATTATTCTTGTTGGTTTAGTATGTGGAATGAATGCCATAAACGTTTACTAGATAAATCATCGCTAAATGCAAATCACACTTTGGCGGCTGTGATTTGGAGTGAGTAGCAGCTGCCCTGCACAGAAGAACAGAAGAGAAGGCGTAGCTGTACAGCTGCTCCTTCACAACTGATCTCCCATCCCAGTTCCAAAATGGACACTGTTAATGGCATGGCTCAGACCTTTCATCCCCACGTTACTCTAAACCTGTTGCTGTATCAGCAAATTTACATGGAAGATCTATGCTTAAACGTGCTTTAATAATTAACTCCTAGGTTTTGAAAGCACGGGGATCAGAGGGGGAATTCCCCTCGTTTCTTGGGATGGGCATTTTATTTCCCAAAATGTACATTTGGGGGAAATTCTAAATGGAAAACAAAAACAAAACCACCCCAACTCTCCTCTGTCATACAGGTGTTTACACATTTGAGTGACACAGCTTTCAAGTAGACTGATGGGGGGGGTGGCAGATTTTTGGAAAAATCAAGTTGTTTCATGACACATGTATACATAAATAGTTCCTAAAGGAAAAAGCTTGGACTTCTGTGAAATTGGTTACTTCTAGTCTTATGACTGCTAGGTTCATGGCTAAAAAGCATGTGAAATGAACGGTCAGCTTCATTGCAAAGTGGTACTGTTCCTGTTACAGGTATGCTGAAATACCACAGCCTAAAACAGAATGAACTCTAATGTATAAGTATGGTAGAATACATCTGAAATGACAGTCAAGTTTCATTCCTTTGCTTAAACATACATCAATGAATCAGCCAAAAACTGTATTAAGAACTCAGGAAAGGTTATCGTGTAGCTTCAGTTACAATTTTGTAAGCACTATGAAGAAATGTTAAAGCCAGGTAGCCAAGGCATCCTTAATGTTGGTTACCTGCAAGACTAGAGAGTTGAGGACTGTCACAGACTAAGATACTGCACTGCCTGGTAGTGTCCAAAACCCTGAATAAATATAGCCCCTGGCCCATAAAGCTTGGTAACTATAAGACTAAAAACAACTGAAATCAGACCCATGTATGCAAATTCAAAAAAATTTTTTTTTTTTTCAGAATTTAAATTTTGCTAGATCTTTTCAGCTTTTTTCACCTTTAGTAAGACTCTGTGAAGCATAGGCTTTTCCACTGACTATGTCTTTTGGAACATGCAGCAAGCATTGGTCTGTCTCTTTCTGATCTGTTTGTGAAGCCAGCTTTAGGTTTGAGTTAGGTGGTACAATCAGCTCCCAAGAGAGGCGGAAGTATATACAAAATTCTATTTCTCTTAAGGAGAACTAGTTTGTTGGCTCATTCTCTAAATCTACAAGTGGCATCTACCGCTGTATCTGCTCATGCATGTCACGAAGCTTTTCGTCTAGCTCTTTGCATAGTAGAGAGCTGAGCCACTTTCCCAGGGAAAGGAGGAATACTCCTGGTATATATTACAAACGCTTAGTTGCATTTAGGGAATAGAAGCAAGTCTGGTAACAAAAAAAGCTGCTATAGAAAAGTCAGAACTGCTGAGGAGCAGAAAGGAGCAAGTTGATAGTCCTTCCACAGCCCAAGCAACTCTAATCAAAACCACTAAGATATAGGTGAAAACACTGAACTGAGAAGCCACAAGCACAAGGCAATATACAAGCCAGCTCTGCAATGACAGTAAGTGACAGTATTGGGCCGTGTCCTATTCAAAACACTGCAGATTTATTTTAGGAACTTGAGACAAACCTGTAAGACAACATTAGATTATTCTGATTAGGAAGCAGTCCCAGCTCAGCCATCAGAAGAACCAAGTGTCTGCAAGGTGTGAATCTCACTCATTGATAAGTGCAAGCAGTGGGTTTTTATCCTCATCTTGTCTATACTTGAGGTTTGCACCGCTGATAGTGGATCCCAACCACTGAAGGCTGAATTACACGTCTTTGAAGGAGGTTCAGATTCCTTGAGGTTACAGGTGCAAACTCGGTGTTCCCAGGGTCTGCATCATCTTTACAAATTTAGTGTTCAGGAGGTCTGTACAGCACATAACGATGGACTCTTTTCCCTACAACTTTTCATGTATGAAATTAGAGATGTTTTTGAAGATATTTTTGAAGGTATAATCATCTTTTATGGTTTAGTCAGATGAACACATACTGCCACCAGGTAACTACTGCAGAAGGCAAGAGAGTGTCTTTTGACTGTGTTGTATGCAGACAGCATGCAAAACAGCTGGAGCTCACAAAATACAAATATGCAACATCATGTATTAACTGTATCCTGAACAACTGAACTGAGCAATTGAAACCCAGAGATGTAATTTGAGACCTCAGCAGACACAAAGGGATATTTAAAAGCACTTAGTAGCACATAGGGAATAGCAAACAGTTCAGTAATAGAAACAGTCTCATTGAGTAACTACTTAGAAGAACGTTCACATCTACAAATTCACATGCACACAGGCTAGGATCAGAGAAGTTCTGAGGAAGAAAGGCGATGGCAGAAAGAAAGTGAGTACAACATATTTTCTTCTGCAGTTTCTCCACTGGAAAGCAAAGCATTACACAAATCTGCAATCCTGGAGCACTCCTTTGCTTTCTGGCAGTACAGGTATTCTACTGAAAAACAGCATGTGTTTCTGCACGTGTTCACTATAGAATGACTTTCACAACAGATGAAATGCAGAACTGGAAGTCCAAGTTCTAGTCCTGGTTCTACTGTAAGTGATCTGAGCGGATAATTTAAATACTTACAGTGCTATTGCTTCCACTGCTGGAAGACAGGGAGCACTAACACACAAAAACACGGTGATCAGTCTGCATAATGTTTCCAAGAATGTTATATATATATATATACACCTGTATTTACATCTGGGATTTCTGTAGTACCTTTCCCTCCTCCATATAACTCTCCTAAAAGCTGATGGTTCAGCCGGTTTTGCTGTGAATAAATTTCCCTGTTTTTTTGATACCGAAGGCACCCTTCTTTGGATTACACTTCGTGGCACACACAGAGTGGATTTTCCATGACTGTTGGGTCCCTCTCACTGAATGCCCTCCCACCACGGATGCTCACTCCTGCCAGGCCCTTAAGGTCGGCCACAAAAGGTCTAGGCAAGCCAGCACAGGCTGCTGATGTGCTGCATCCTGGAGGAATGGATTCTTTCAGTGACAAGTTAGAGGCACAGTATCTTGCCCAGGACAGGTAAGTAGAAGCTCAGCCCCATTCTGAAGAATCCTTCACACAGACTCTTATTTTATAATGCTGACTTCACAACTTCCATAGGATTATTAGTGGTGCCCCAATTTTCCTTTTTTCCAAATGTTAATACTGTACCTGAAGCAAGTAGTAGAGGTTAAAATACTGAAACTTAAGACTGAAATGCCGAACAATCTGATATTGCAGATATTTTGCACTGTTAGTTGACATTATCTTCAAAATTAAGGTCTTTAAAGAAATCCTGGTCTCATTTTTCTAACCTTGAAAAGCAATTACTTAACTTTCTGCAAAGCATGACCACACTCAAAAGTTGATTTGCTTCTGTGAAACTGGCATGTTAAATCACATTTGTGTCCAACAATAAGTAAGTGTTCATCTTGTGTTCTTCATAACTACATTACAACTGGCAGATATACTTGACACTGAAGGCTCACTAAAAGGTTGAAAACTCTATGCTTGGGCAACTGTAGAAAACAAATCCTCATGAGCCAGAGCTTTAAAAAACAGTTTTATTTAAAGAATTAACTTCTAGAGGGGAAAGGAGACAGCAAGACTGGTTATACAGCAATAGCAACAACCAGAGCACAAGTCAGTAATTGTATTTCGAAACTCCAGGGCAGGCAGTGATCAAGTACAACACCAGTATTTTTATAATTGTTTTCCAATTTCAACTTTAAAAATCTCTTTTTCAGACTTAATTTGAACTAGGAATAGTTTATATTAAGGATGTAACATTCCAACTATGGCATCAGGTAATAGCTACCGTGCAAGGAGCTGGTAAAATCCAGCTAAACCCAGTTTGTCAAAGTGTTGAGCTAGCATTTGCCAGTAACAGGTTATTCTTCAGATGCAACAAGGCTGTCAGTCTGGTTCATTCAGTTTTAAGCTCATCACTGCACTGCAAATTACAAACTGATGGTGAGCTGAGGGGGAGGAGAAATACAGACATAAACCCCAGTGTGCCCAACACAGGGAAGGCTCATTTCTTCCTCAATCAACATAGAGAGGATGAAGCCTCTTTAGATCTTTACAGGAAGTTACATTAAAAATAATAACCACTTAAAGAGTTTCAGTGCTCAGCAAATCAGCTGTACCCAGTACATTTAATACAGTTTAACTTTTAAAATGCTGGGTTTATATACTAGTGTTTCAATCTCTGTTTAAGTTCACTTTAAACAGTAGTCTAATAAACTGTTTTTCTAACATTTAGAAATATACAAGTGTGTACATTAATCAGAATTAAAAGGACCCTGTTCTCCAGGAAAGCAAGAGGTAGTTTCAAGTTTAGAGCAAACACTGCCTTTAAGTGGCAATTAATCTGTTTAAGGGATCGCCCAAGAATTCTCCGAAGGGAAAAACTGCTATAGTCTCCTGACTGCTGATTACAAGTCTTGAACTTAATCAGAGTTAAGTCACTTGGATGTAATCCTGTCCATCCCAACACTCACACTTAGACCACAATTCCACAGCACACTGGCTTTGACAGCAGTGTCAAACTCAGGAGTTCCTGTTCCCTTTTCTCCTCCTTCTGCCATTCTCTGATCCCTCCACCCCAGTGCACCGTACCCTTGTTTTGCCAACACACCTCTGAGGCCATGATGTTGAACAGAGGGACGAAACTGATTCAGGACAAAAAGAACCCCGTTCTGCATGTCCTCCACCCCACAAAAACATACGGTGCATTTGAGCCTTTGCAGATTTTTTTAACTGAAGGGAACTTTTCCGTAAGATAAGGAAAAGAGGAAAACAAATGGAAAGAAACATGCATGTGTCTCAAAATGAGATTTAATTCTAGACATCATTTGTTCACCTGCAAGTTGGGGTCAGATCATCTAGACTAGTAACAGTATATAGCCTAAATAATACAGGTCTCCCAGGATGCAGAAGCATGATTAGAGGAAGAATACTGCTGCTCCTGATAATGACAGCTTTTCAAGAGATGAAAGACTGGACAAAGTTGTAAGCAAAAAAATTTCAACTAGTAAAAGGAGCAGTGGAGGGGAATTCTTGTTGTGGGAATATCAAGAATTAAGACCAGGCTTTGAGTGAACCCTGCTGCTGTTTGTTTTGAAAAACCTCCACACACTCCTGGAAGTCTAGAAAAGGGCTAAACTAGTCTAGGCAGCTATCAGCTCCCTGCAAGTCCAGAAAATGCCTGCTCTGGGAGTGTCTGACATCAGCACGTGGGACCAGTGGTACTTACCTGGTGTCGGTAGTTGTACCAGCCGTTCGAACCCGCAACAAGCACCACCCAGTGCTTGCCTCCATCTTCAGGCTCTTCCATGGGGAATGTGCTGATGCTCAGAGCACAGCCCAGCAGCACAACTGCTTTCAATATCATCTCTCTTCCTTAATTAAGCCACAAACAGGAGAAAGAAAATCCCTAATGAAGAAGTTTGAGAGAAGTAAATCAGAGGACATCAGTCAAAAATAAAACTAATGCAGACTAAACATCAGCGGTATCACAACTAGAAGCTCTTCTTGCTTGTAGGTATTTGTGTTTTACAGAACACAATCCACAGTACAATTTCTGGTCATATCTTCCTTTAGCACCAAGCTGCTACTATTACAAGAGTTTTCTGTCAGCTTTCAAATCTGACTGAAAGCAATTCTGTATGGGACAACCAAGTCTTTCAGCTCCCTCTGGTTGTTCTGTTCTATAATAGCTGGTAATGAATAAGCCTCAAATACAGAGCAAGCTTCACTATCAAGTATTTCACAGATAAAACCTTTTCACATTAACTTTTTCTTGTTCTCTGCTTATGTAGTCCCCTGATTTCCATTCACTGGCATTTAGCCCATTCTTACTGAGTCAAATCCCAGGTGAGGTAGGCAGAAGGATGCATCGACATGGAGAACTGCCTGGGAGTTGGAAGGTCAGTGTCACAAAAGCTCTCTGTGCCTGCAAAGCCAGAGCGGGTGGAGAGAGGCCACGCTGCTTTTCTGCCCAAGATACAGCCCTAACTGCTGGGGCTGGGGGGGAAGTGCAGACTTGGATTGCCTCACGCTATTTGTGCAACCTGTTATGCTCGTGGAGAGCAAATGCGAACCAGTACCACATGAAAGAGTAGCATTTTCATCTCTTTTGCACAATGGTTAAGTGTTTGCACAAGGTAGATGAGAGAATCTGGTCTGAGTCTGTAGATGTTGAATTCAAGCCTCCTCTCAGGTTCTGCTTTTCCAAGCCTGTGCAGAAATGGCTCTTTCTACTTTCTTGAAGTGGACACTAGAGGTAGTGGCCCTACTAATGAACTTCCTGATTGTCTGATAAAGTATTTGCTCTAAAAGCAAACAATCTGGCCATATCAAATCAAAGGTTCACTTTTTGGGCAGTTTTTTTTCCTTGGGAACAGGGGAAAGCAGGTAATGTGTGTTGGTCAGTCTCAGGTCTGCTGCATCCAACACGTAGCTCAAAACAAACCCCCCTGAAGAATGGCACGCGCTTGGCACACAAAGATTACATATTTCCCCATACACTGAGAGACAGGACGTTACACTGGTCTACTTACAAAAAAGAGATTCTAGAGGTTGATCATCACTGCTATCTATGGAAGAGGTGCTGTATTAAGAACTGGAGTAGTCTACTTCGGCATGGCTTTCTCTGGAAACTCCCAAGCCATATGACACAGTCACAAGGCACAATGTCAAAGCTGCCACTAAACCAAATAACTAAACAGTATCTAAGTCAGCCTCGGGGCCCCACAGTCAAAACCATCCATCTGCAGCCACTCCAATGAGGCTGAAACAGAAAAGTAGCCTGCTCATCTCCAAAGCAGCTGTGTACAGTGAGGACTGCTAACGTAACATGTAGCGTAGGTCTTTCCAAGACTGGATCTAGTAATCACTGAGATAAAGTCTTGCAGGCAGTTGTAGGAAAATATATTTCATATATATAATGGAAGTTCACTTTTTTTTTTAAATGGGGCTAGCACAAAGTAAAGGAAGTCATGCTAACATATCAGCTCCTATAGGAAGAGCTGTTAGCACACGCAAAAACTCCAGAACAGAACAGAAAATCCGGAACTAAATGTTAAGTGCTATGACACCTCTTCTTCCAAAAACTCATTTGAATCTAGAAAACGTCTTTCAGGAATAAACCACTCCTGTCATTGCCTGGAAGCGTGAGATTCAGGAGGGAGAAAAATACATGATAATTTAACAATTTAGGGTTTTTTGAATTATTAGCTATTTCAGCAGTTAAGCAGATAAGAAGGAATAAGTAGAATTTTCCTGCAGTTTGATAAACAGTTATAATCTCTCATGTGGATCTGGAATTATAAATTCTTGTCTTTGTTGTTGCCAAACAGTGACAGGTGACTTTTTATGAAAACTCTGCCTTGTCTATCTTGTCAATTCTTCACATGGTTAAGACAAATAACATACTAACAACTGTGTTAAAAATATACCATTTTTACATATATACCATGTTACAACATCCACAAAAACTGCCTATTCTGTTGCCTACAACATAGCTAGGATTCAGACCAAGTTGTTTAAAAACTTTTATAATGTGTCACAATACACCATGGGCCAACAAGCCTATTCACTCCCAATATTCAGTGTCAGGTATCTCTAACTCCTGAAATATTAGACAAGAAAAGAAATTCAATATATTTTAGGCGATCTGCTTAAAAATCTTAACTGAGTTTGACTTACTGGAATATGGAGCCGAAATTCATGCAAACAGATCCCTCACAGCTGAGTATCTGTTTCATGAGAAGAAACTTTGTTCCTTGTTCATTAAAGCATAACTACTAATTTCTCCAACTAAAAACATTATTTACATTAAAAATACAATGGGAAAATAAATGGTTCAAATGATTGCTGAAGGGCAGGAGATCCTTGCACACGATGCTTAGCTCTTAGAGATGTAAATCATTAGTTTGAATCCAGGACATATCAATAGAAGCCGTGTTGCTGCCAGCTGTTCACTGGGCCATATAACACGAAGGCTAATGTCAAGGCAGATCCTAGCAGACAGGCATCCATCACATGGAAGGAGTCACTGTCACCGGCTGTCAGTCACTGATACACCACACAACCGAGGCTGAAGCTGCTTCAGAAAAAAAAAAAAAAAAATACACTGTGGAATGCTAAATCCTGAACTGGAAACAGTTTGCTGGGACTGTCTTTCCTGACAAGTTCACGCTCCAGACTATACTAACAGGGACCTAGAGCTCTCAGTACCCCAGCAGGCAGCCACGCATTGCAGGATGCAGGTGTACCAGATACCAGCCCTGCATTCTGCCTGCAAATGGGCCCCCAGCAGAAAAACCCAGGGCCAGATCAGGAACAGACTTAAGCTATCAAGCCTCTCAGGCAGTCCCTCCGTGGGGGATTCGACAGTCTCCCATATGGAATGCGGATATCCAGACCGTCGGGTTTCTTACCTCTGCTGAGACAAAGTTGTGAATGATGCAGAAGGCCCAGGGAAAAAAAATAAAACAAACAACCAAACACCAAGAAACATTCGCACTGCATTAGAAAACTATGTATGTTTTGTCATGGGTTATTTATAGTAGAAAAAAACCTTCTCTTTTATACTAATAACATAATCCCACTTACCTGTCTTTTCCTATACTGTAATTAAATCAAATTAACACTAGAAAGAAGGGAGGAAAAAAACCCAGACATACCACAGTGCACTAAAACCATGATCAATAAATGCTCAGCTCCCCAAGGTTCTCCAAGCAGCATTTAAAATAGGTTTAACCATTAAGCACATGTGCTGTGGGAATAAGTCTCTCATTGCTTGTTTCCAACTACTAAAAAAATAAAAAAAAAAAGAAGCAAAAAACCACCCAAACCTCTCATGTTTTTTTGTTTTGTTTTAAAGACAGTCTTTGAGTGCTCAGGCAGGAAATTTGAAAGACTGTGCTCTGGGCTGCATTGAATGAGTTCTTGACCTACAGTTGAGAAGAGAAAGTTCCCATCACATGCTATGTCTTCAGGTCATATCAGAAGAGAAACCAGCTCAGCTGACCAGCTTACTACAGGTACACAAAAAGCCTTTTTCTGAAAGCGAAGAACCAAAGATCTGTCACGCTCCATCCTAAATGCATGCCGAGTGAGACTACATGGAAGAACTGAAAAATTACAAGATCATTTTAGAGCTTTGGCTGACCCCCAAAAATATGAATATATTTGATCAGCTCTGCCTAGTCTTTCTCATAGAAGAGTTATTTAACTTTTTTTTTTGGAGACTGTGCCAGGAAAAAGGCGCATCTTGCAGACATGTTGGGTTCAGCATGAGAACCACAGCATGTACACACACAGGTAGGCTGCTGCACAGCCCCTGGAAGCAGCATGGCCGGAACTGTTTGGCTCTTGCAGAACAATTCACTTGGCTCTTAAAGCCTGGTTTTCCTGACAGAGGTATCTTGACCACTTCCCATTGCATGGCTAGCACACAGGGATCTGACTCGATAAGGGAGGGATGCTTAAGGCAGACAGCATCTGGAAGTGGCCAGCTGCTGCTAGAACAACTCTTCTGGTCAACAGCCTGTTCCCCAAGTTCCCTTTGAGAAAACAGTCCACTAAGATCAGAAATCTTAGAAAAACAAGATACCACCCTAAAGAAAGGTGTTTATGTTGATCAAAGTATCTTCCACTAGTGTTTAGGGTGATGTTGACACTTTGGTAGCTTAAACTCCAAATACCTCGAGCACAGCCTCTAAGTGCTATATAAACAGAAACCACATACCCATTTTCCCTTCACGTGAAGCAAGTTAATTAACAATAATCTTGGGGAGAAATTACAGCCTTAAACTAATCAGCTGATCATTCCAGTTTTTCTTGGAAATGTCTATTTCTTTTCAGCCGTTCTTATAACTACCAGACTTCTAGTTTTCAAAATCAAGTCACAATTCCTTTTACCACACAGTGCTTGCATATTGCCTGTTACTGTAATATTTAGATGCTGATTTCCATAAAATGTGACTCACGATAGCCCTCCTCACAGGAAACTAATGTTTGCAGTTCTCTGTCAGCAATGTTCTGCCTACATGTTGTGCTGGCTGCTATGCAAACTGAAGCACCTAAACCCGTGATTAAGCCCCTGCAGAAGTAGTCTGGTTTTCTTTATGCATTTGTATGGTAGCAAGAAAAAGTCTTTATCACTGTAAACTCTGATAAGGTACATTTTGAAGGAGATTATGGTCTGCGTTGCAAAACAATTCTTTACAAAGTCTACTAGTAACCATTCTGTGAATCAACTTAATTTGATTAGAGCTCATAGTAATATAGTTTGGTATAGCTACTGAAGATATATGTCATTCTTGCTTTAAAAACAAGAATTTGTAATTATATTAACTCGGAATGGTTTTAAACATTTTAAGGGTTAAATAAAGGTAATTTAAAAGTAATTTTAAATAAAGCTCATTTTCTTCTTTGTAGATTTGTCTCTCAGCAGCATAGAGATGGCATCATTTACCAGGGTGGAAGGGGAATAAAAATCACTCCTTATGCTTCTTAGAATGATGACAATATAATAAACCTGGTTTAAGGGATATTTCCCGCCCCCCCCATACACTTCAAAAAGCCTAGATTGAAATTTGGCAGATCTTAAGGCTTCAGGAAAACACTTTCTGCTACTTACTTTCAGATCTGTCTACAAATATACAAAGCACCTGGAAACATATTCTGATGGTACAAAAACCAGCTACTGCAACACTGCATAAATAACTTCACATTTCATGATTCAGGGCAGGGGGGTGGGGGGTTGAGGGTAGAAGAATAAACCAGATGAGGGTAAGCATTTCTGCTCAACAAACATGGAAGCGTTTGGACAGAATGAAATTCTGGAGAAACGACTACACATAAAGTCTGAGATTCCTGCACCCTGAACGTCTTTTACTATGGTTTATCTTAGCATTTCAGACCTTCACTGCAGCATTTGTTTTAACCCCCAAATACAGACACCCGACACAGGGCTGGCCCATCCTAATTAGGAACGAGTGGTGCTACCAACTCAGAGCAGACCTCGGTGTTACAGCAGGTTCGCCTACCAGCTATAAACAACCGCAGGGCAGTACCTTACAGGCACCATCAGCTCTTTCCAAAAAAAAAAAAAAAAACCCGTCAATCCTTATTCCACCCTCTTCCTCCGTTAAAAACGTATTACGGGGGACTCAACCTGCGCTGCTGCTGCTGCTACTGCTGCCCCCCCAGGCCCCCCCGCCCTCCTGCGCCAGCCCCGAGCAACGCCCGCCTGCCCCTCTCCCCCCGGCGAAGCCTTTTCCCGCAGGGGCGAGCTCAGAGGCGGCTCCGAGGGCCGGGGGGGCCCCGCCGCGCCCCAGCGCCTTGTCCTGGGGCAGCACCGCCGGCGCGGCTCGGCGCTCCGCGGCCGCGGGAGAGGGGGGGGGGGGTGTGGGGGGGGACACCCTGCAAACCGGCCCGGCCCCCGCCGCTGACTAACGGCCGCAGCCCCCGGGAGGGCGCCGGGGGCGAGCGCTCGCAACCGGGGAGGGGAAACCGGCGGCTCCGGGCCGCTCCCCCAGAGCCGGTGGGGACTCACACCCCCGCCCCGGGCAGCTCTGCCGCCGGGGCCGGTAAGCCCTCACGGCTCCCCTCGCCCAGGCATACCCCTGCCGCCACCCTCCTCCTCCTCCTCCTCCTCCTCCTCCTCCTCCCCGCCGCCAGCAGCGACGGGACCCTCCCCAGGCACCGCGGAGCCACCGCCGGCCGGCCCTTACCGCGCTGCCCGCGGAGCCGTCCCTGCGCGGCCGCTGTGATTGCGGAGCGGCGCGGAGCGGAGAGGGGCGAGATAACCCCCGGGCCGCGCTGGGCGGAGGCCGGCGCCGGCCAATGGCGGCCGGGCGGAGGAGGGGCCGGACACCCTCTCGGCCGCACTACGTGTCCCGGCGAGCCCTGCGCTCCCCCGGCCTCATAAGACCGCGGGCCTGGCACGCAAAGCACGGTGGGAGATGTAGTCCCCTCGCCCTGGGTGCAGCTGGGGAGCGCGTCTCGCGTGGGTCGGGCAGCCCGGCGCGGGGAGGGGGTGGGTGGATTGGAGCCCGCGGGGAGCCCCCCCCCCCGCCTCCACGGGCCGTGGGCGCCCGTGGCGTGTGTGTATGCTGTGCGCTGGGCACGGAGGGGGCTCAGCGCCGGCTGCGCTTTACCGTCGGAACTGCCCTCCTGTGCTTTGGGGGCAGGATGGGGGCAGGAGGCCCAGGGCGGGAATGTGGAGGAACGGGTGGAAGGGTAGTTCATGAAATAGGGAAAAACTCCTGCCCCTGCATCGTCCTTGTGTGCTTCTGCAGCGATGGCCTGCAGAGTCCCGGCTTCTCGCTGCAGGCTGTGCCAGCCCGTGCGGCCTGGTGGCTGGGGCGCGGGACGGAAAGCGGCGCGGACCCGCAGGAGCGGTGCCGGGGGTTTTGGTTACATGCTATGAAAAAGCCTCAGAAACGCTGCTGTGAAGTCTTTCCCATTTTTAATGGGAGAAAGAGAAGCATGGATCCGTTTCAGAAGTAGAGGCACAGGCTTTTTGCCTATTAAACCACAGAGAAAGGTGCACACCAGCTTCCCCCTTGCATGCTATCAGTTAAAAAAAAACAAGTTCACGTTTTGCTATCGACCAACTGTGTTTTTGACCATCTGCAGAAAGTCATAGTTTTGCTCTGAGTTTGCCATTTGCATTATTTGCACGGTTTCAGCTTTGCTGATGATCATAAATATGAAAGGTCACGACGGGTTAGACGTCGCTACCTTTCCAGAAGTTGGAGACCCCAGTAACCCGGCATAACCCCTGACACAATCAAGCTGTTAAAATTCCAGTTGGTTCAGAGATGACTTTCTGAACTGACAAAAACCATCATGCTGACTATCCAACAGGAAAGAACAAGCCCTAAACCTTCTTTTCCCCACTGTTTAATTTGAGCTTAGTAGCCACATGGGTTATGCTTATGTTTTGAATATTATCCTCCTGCCCTAAAAGTTACCTAATATCAGTTAAAAGCATTGCTGACCTGTCATCCAAGTCCAACGGTGTTTTTCAAATTGTTTGTCATAGCTGGGCTACATGAGGTAAGTATACCTTGTGTCAGCTGTCACTTCTAAAAAGTGTCGTAATATCTTTGTCAAATAACCTGTCTATAAATTCTGTCTGGTGTTCATTAAACATCAACGGCATGTCCCTTACTGTGAAACAAAACAGATGGGAAGACCAATGGAGGAATCCTACATCTCAGTCAAAACGTATCAGACAGATACTAAAGACACCCAAGTAATACTCATATTTTTCCTATGGAATATGATTGTTTCTTTGATGATGTTAGAAAGTTAGCAAGCCTTTCTGAATCAGGTGGGAAGTTAGTGTCTAAGATATGAAATGGTGTCGCTGGGTATGTGGGCTGAAGTAAGCAGAAAGATTGCTGAAATACAGTTGTGGGGAGTCTCAAACAGAAGCAGCTAGTTCTGCAAAAGGAATCCAGCATGATCCTTACAACTGCTGCTACCATGGAAGAGAAATGAAAGAAATGATGTTTTCTCAGTCAAACAAACACCTATTTTATGTCTATGTAAACAAGCTTACATATAATATTTTTCAAAACAGGAAAGCATATAAGTAGGTAGAAACATGATTGATTTATGAAACGTTTAGCTCCTTGCTCTGACAGCACTAAAAAGCAAAAGTAGCCATCACCCACACGTCTCATAACAAAACTTCAACGTTCTGGAATGCAGTTCCACCAACCCACCAAAGCCACATGCTACAAATGAGAACTAAGATGCTAGCAACTCTGAAAGTGTTGACTGAATAAGAACAAAAAAAACCACCCAAATGTGAAACTTAAAAACTGCAGATAAGCATGGGTTCTTTCTTAATAGAGAGATTTTACCAACCAGGGATGGGAAGTCCTACAGACCGCAGGGCTGCTATACCGTATGTGTGGGTAGTTTAGCTCTGATTCTGTTTTGCTAAGGGTGCTCTGAAAGCATTCTCACTCCTACCTCCAACACTGCTGACACCAGGCTGGCTTAAAATGCTGGTAGTAATAGTTCTGGTATAGCACAGCTTTCCCCAAAAGAGGTTTTCCAGATTTGTGGCAGAACTCTGGGGATGTTTTAACCCAGGTATTTATGGTACCATGCCACTAACCTTACAGCTGACAAAATTTGGACTGAAAAGTCATTTAGTTTGCTTTTAATCTGCCAGGAAAGGTATTTATAAAAATGTACAGGACGCCATTCTGGACTGCATGTACATTTCTCCTTTAACAGCATCTGAATAAATCAAGACTTTTTTTTTAATGAGTCAAGGACTTTTTTAGCTGGGAGAAAATGGACTGGAATTGTGAATTGAGCTCACTTAGGGCATGTACCAAGGAGCAAGATGCATAGGTTATACACTGGTATAGTAAGTGAATGCAAATCAGGTGACTATTAGGTTAAAACACAGCTAATGAGCCACAACACTCCCGTAAGACCTTATAAATTCTGTAATTCTGTAGAGAATTTTTTTAAAGAATGTCTTCTACTTCTTGGAAACATTGTCACCAAATGTTACTGAACGTTTTCAAAGGGAAAGATGGAATGAGTCCATAAATATGTCCCATGTGGATGAATCTGGACAATAACAGAGAGAAAAGGATCTTACTCATTAATAGAGGATTTTTAAATTACTTAATTCAGTAACAGTGTTTAAGAATGCAGGGTGCCAAGACCACACTAGTTGTGTTGGACCCAGAGCTGACTAATATACTGTTATTGTGATACCCATATGCTTATTCAGCCATGCAACGACAGGTTTGCTCATGCAGTCACTTGTTTCAGGATGTTGTAGACTTTAAAGTGCTTTGCCATATAAATCCCTTTGCGTGTTTGCATAATATTTACCAACATGATGCTTGAGTAGGTGAGAGAAAATGCAATTTCTTCTCATCTATTTCCTTGTTAGGATTTTCTTGAGCCACTCTGTACCTAGGCAGCATGGTCAACTGCCCCCAGCCTCGACATGGCAATGACCTGCTTCTATAAGATCAACAAGTTCTTTAAATTCTATTTCTTATTCTATTAAGTTCTATTGAATGCTGGATTCTTAATCCAAATTTAAATGATTGCTTAACAGTAGTCCTGGATTCCAGATATTCATGTAATTTTAAGCTTCCTTGACCTATTTTAAATATTTGAACGAATGCTAATTCTTTGTAGTTGCGCTAACTTAATAACTATTAGCAAAAGAAAATAAGAAATTCTGGGGGAAAAAAAAGCGCTAGTATGTAAGGTAAAGAGTGGGAGAGATTTATGGTAGACAAAACAATGTGCTGAGTCTGGTTTTTCAACATCTTCACCATCAATGAGATTAGATTTGTCAGACTAGTAATGATGCATGACTAGTTGCCTTGTAAAGGCAAACATCAGACATGGTTACCCCATATGTTTGAAAAGAGGAAGGATTTAGTTTTCATTTTAGCAAAATTAACAGGGGGGTGGTTTTAGCTATCAAAAGATTAAAGGAAAAGACAATGGTCATCTTTATTTTGGGAGGGAAATCATAAGAGACTTGCATGAAGTGACTAATTCTGAAAGAAAGAGAGTTAATGGCAGGCATATCATCATGGAGATAAACTGAGATTAAGCAAGTCTGGGAGGCAGAGGGATTCAGAGGTTTAGTTCATGTACATCACTAGGGGAATATATACGCAAATGTTTTGAGAGGGAGTGAGGGAAAACTTTATCCCTACATCTTTGACCATGCTTTCTTCAGCTGTTCTGACAGATTTAACTACATTAGACAGTGTTCAAGATAGTGGGTTCTATATTATTCTTGGAAATAGGTGGACAAGTAGAGGGGAAAGGTTTGAGACAGCACCAGAGAAAACCAGTGAACCTGACAACCCTTTTTAGAGGGAGAGAAAGGTGAGAACAATGAGGGCAAATGATCAGTTTGTTCCTTTTATCTATATTTTTAGAGAGAAAAATATATATGTCTGTATCTCAATATAGAATATGTATATACATGTATTTGTATATACATTAATTTTATTCATTTGCATAAACACTCCAATTTGGGGGAAAAATTTGCAGACAGGAGCCTCATTACATGCAGATCTCTTCAGCACTTAGCGGTTCCTAGTTAAGATTTGTGTATATCACATCAATAACTAACTGAATGAACTGTAGTGTAGAAAATGGTTAAGAGGTTGTGGAGGGATCACTTATGAGAGAAGATTGAAAGACGTGAGGCAATTTCGTGTAGACAAGCGAGGATCCAGGAGATAGACTCTAACATGACACGAGGTGAAAATATTTTAATGTCTCCAGAACAAGAAATAACGGTCTTAAAATGCAAGAGGTACATGTAGATTAGAGTGGAAAGCATTTTTTAATTATAAGGTACTAAAGCACTGGCCTAGGAATGGTCCTTAGCATTGAAGCCTACAGACATAGCCATACAAACACAGTTTCTTCCAAGAGTAAAAGTCGTTAAGATATTTTTTCTTGTTCCTTTCTCCTGTGGGCTTTTTGGGGAAAGACAACCATCTCTCAGGAAATGTAATATTTCTATCAGGTTGATTCTCCAGGCAGAGCTCTGCCGGGGAAGGAGGAACTGAGATGTACTCTATGAGACTTTGTGTCCATTTCTGTTCCAAAAAAATAAATAAATAAGCAAGAGTACGAAAGCAAGCCAGGAGAAGTAAGTCACTGATTTCTGCATAATTGCAAAAGGAGCTTATGCAGCACTGACACTCAATGGAAGAGTAAAGATATGACTGAAAGGCACCCAGGAATTTCCTTTATGGTGGAAGTATAAATTTAGTGCAAAGAATTTGGGGCATATACTTCTACTCTGATCTGTGTCAAAAGCAGTGGAATAGGAACACAT